GGCGTTTGTTAATAGTACGGTCGAACAAAATTAGCGGCCATTACCAAAATGTCTCAGCAATCGAACATCTGCAAACGGATTATTAGCCTAATGAACTTTTGCATAAGCACTTTCTATGTATTTATAATAAGAATATCGCATGCCACCTGTCACCCGTGCAGCGGACGTATATAATCAATAGGGCCACTCGTTTCCGCCACCACACAAAAACAAATGAATGCTAAGTTATAACAAAAAAGTAACAAAGACGAAAGTGTTCCAGGCCGCAGATTACGAGCACGTTCATTTATTAATTTATACGTGGCATCGCTTAAAAAACTCAACCCCACGAAGATAAAAAACGTAGCGCGCGTCCCGCAAAAGGGAAAGGGTGTCTCGCGCCTCGGCTCGCGTGCTGCACTACGTTTTTTAACAGCTCTCTGCGGTTTGTTTTTTCGGGTGCATTTCTGTTTTTTAACAACACAATACCGTTGCCGAGGAATATTTTTTAACAGCGTCATATTGACGCGCGCGACGCCCCGAGGCAGAAGTCTGTTCTTTGTCGTTTCTTGCTTTCGAATCACTTCGCCTCGGGTAAGTGGAAACCCTTTTCAGCGTTTCGTTACGGTTAGGAGATAGCTTGATGGAACATATGTGTTATTTTTGATTTTGCATTAACGACTTCCACTGAGTCAGTTTATACGCACCGAACATAAAACGACAAACGTCATTTACAGTCGTATTTACGCGTTGATGCAAATTTGGCGATGAAACGGCTGGTGTTAGAACAACTGTTGTAAGGAATGCGTAAGTGCGCCATAAAACATGAGCCATGAAAACGCTATTAAATATTAAAAGTGGAGAAACGGAGAGCTTAACAAGAAATAAAACATCGTCGTAAGAGCGAAGTCGCCCCCGGTCGGGCCAGCTATCGGCGCGCCTCACTTAATGCCTACTTATACCTTATTATATAGCGGAGTTTGCGTTGAGGAACAAAATTAATTGGTTAAAACTCCTCTCAGTATCCAGGGCGGGCCACCCCGTCTCCCTCTTAATTCCTCTCTCCCTCCGTCGCCCGAACCCCGTCAGCTCTTTGAACACAACCTACCTAAGAAAAAACAGAAAGTATGAAGTTGCGTAGAACAGTGTTGTAACTTAATTAAAAATAATACGATAAAAACAGATTTCTTTAGATATCTTGTACTCGTGTGTCACAAATACGTGTTGATATCGGTGTAAGTGTTTGAATCTAATTTGTAATTATCCTATTTTAATGTTTAAATGTAAATTAGAACAACAAATCTAAATAAAGAAGGAGCACATAATGCAAAATATTATTTCGAATTTTTAATGATATTTATAATCTCTATTGATGTCTACTGCGCCAAAAAATTCAATATTTAGTTCAATTATTTATTTCCTTTTATTCATTATGATACAGATATCAATACCCTAAATTAGCATTTATTTAAAAAATGATATGAATTAATTTTAATATGTCTACATTTACTTCTTATGTTGATTTTCCTTTTTTCTGAACAATAGTAATATTATAGTGATATTCAGTGAAAATACTTTTGTTTGTTCATTAAGTTCTCTTTCAATAAAATAAGTCACAATTTTAACTCTGAACGTAACTCACATTTATTTATGCATTTTTTTAAATATATTGTAGAGTAAAAAAAAACCTTTTTTTATATTCTAATTTTCTAACTCATTAATTCTTACTGCTGACATTTTAAAATCTAAAATAATTCCCGAGTTGCAACGCTTGGGGTGTGCGTAGGTAACGAAGGGCGAAAGCAAAGGGTAGGTCGGGCGAAGCGCGGGCGGGCGGGGAGGTAGCTCGTTGCCACTTCTCCAAATAAATTATAATTCGCCAGCTTTCTTCTTACAGCGACCTCTCCTACTGTTTAAAAGATATTCATTAGTAAAATATGCGAGACAATGCTTTGCTTGAATTCTATTAAAAACATTTTTAAAATAAACACTTTAACTTCTTTGAAAATTGTTTTAACTACGGCCCGACGTTTCGGATGCTTTGCAGCAGCCGTGGTCACGGAGAGACAATCTCCAAGTGACTCCAATTTCAAACAAGTTTAACTAATACATATCGTGTTTTAAACCGTTAAAGTGTTTAATTTAAATGTGTACTACTTGCGTAAACTACAGACAGTGTTTATAAAAAACGTTTTTAAACGAAAAATAATTGCCCAGTTATATGCTTATAACTAACAATTTAGGTGGATATAAACAGCTGATTCCTAATGTGATCGAGTTGCCTAAGCTGAAAAAAACGTATTTAAGCACTTGCGTTATAAAAGAACGTATGTCTTATAATACCTATAACGTCCATAGTATTATCCAACGTGCATAGAAGTTTAAAATAGTGATTTTTTTTCTAGAAAATTTTTGGTTTCGTAGTTCGTATATGTTCTTGAAATTTTTAATTTTAACATTTGAAATTTATCATAGTACGAACATTTTCAGACTTTGAGTTTTGCTTGAGTCTTAAACAATCTTTCTAAAATGCTGTGCCAACAAGTACAAGCTGATAAGTAAAAATGTAACTACTTTTATATACTAGTACATTTAAAATTTTGTACACCTATGTTTTTCTTATTAAGTGGTAGAACTATAATTTAACAACTATGATGTGCAAAGTACCATTCAGTAATTCCCTAGTAAGGTAAAAATGTATCACTGGATAAAGGTTTCAAATAAAAAAAATATTAAATAACAAACATCTCTTTATTTCTCGTTATGTACTTGGACATCAATAAAGAATACATAAATTTATAGTACAATAATTAATTTACATCCATCATATCCTAGATTAATTTGTACAAGTAATGTTGACAAATTGTAAGGACTTTTCATAGCGCGTAATTCGGCTTTTCCGTATGAGGTAGATATAATATGATGGCAGCGTTTACTACGTTCGGGTGTGTCACAAAACACTATGAAAATGGCACAAATCTTGAAATCTATTACTAAACAATAAAAACAACCCCTAATATTACAAAATCAATCACGAAAACAATTCAAATATTAATTATTAGGAACTTAAATTCATTGCAGAGAGCTAGTCTCTCGTTAGTGTTGCATTAAGAGTTATAAATAATGAGGTATTTGGGGAAATCATTAAAGAGGTTTCAAATATAAATCAGTCTCAGTGTTGTAGTATAATTAGTAATAACATGACTTACGTAAATTAACATAGATTACAATAAATCATTATTATTTGTACGAGATCTCAATAGAGTTGAAGTATAGAAAATATTTAAAGTTTTTGGCTATGTACCCTGCCTTCGTAGCATCTTTGAATTGAGGTAGATGACGGTACTGCGTTAACATTAAACTAACTACGATTATAATTAATATTAACATTGCAACATGAAACCGAGTCTAATGAATATTTTTATTTGTACACATTAAAATTTGTACCAATATTTTCTTTGGGATTACCTTACTCGTAAACATTTAATAGGACCGTGCGGCCTCTTTCAAATCGACATCCTACGAGAATAAAATAATAATAATCAACAATCAATACATTTCAATCATGTACACGAATCGTGCGCAAATGGCCAAACAAACACGTTGTCTTAAAATAAATTAAAACGAAAATAATCACACTATAACTAGTAGGAAACTAATACCCGTAAGAACAAATTGCTATACTCTATGCACTAATTGAAGCGTCAGCTTCGACATAGCTATTGTTAATATCTAACACAAACTAACGTGACACATGCGTCCCGAATGAGGAATTCACTAACTATTATCTACAATTTCCAAGCTTTGGAACGACATCTAAGAGCGCTTATCACAAATTCGGGATGAACGTGACCACATCCATATATAATCGTAACACCTAATAGCGAAGAGAAATTACTTTCCAAATCACAAATTGTAAAATATAAGCATCGGTTCGACGCCGGTATACCTAACGATACGATTAAATATTTACATATATTATTCTCTATTAACAGCGATCGTTCTCGAAACGATTATACACGAATATTTATGTACTAACTGATAAATAATAAATAATTTATGACAGCAATATTTACAGAGAAGCTCGCTGCGCTCGACTCCTTCGGTGCAGCCTCGCTCACTGGAACCGCCTCGATTTTATCGATAATTACCTACTTACGAGTAAAGGCTCCATTGATTTCAAATAATTATCCCCTACAATGAAATAATATCAGTTACGTCTCTCGCTTCTGTTTGCGTAATAGAATTTAAAAAAAGAACGAGATCTATGGGATTTCGTAAAAGTTATAGAAATTTTTCCAGAATCGGTTATAATAAGGGTGATTAGGCACCGGTCGGGTCGTCGCGAGGCGCGATGGATGAGGGCTCGCACAATAGCCTCGTCTTTGTCCGCCGAACGGAACTACGCCCAATCAATACTTCTTAATCACCGATTGTTAACAAGCCTTTGTCGCTGAAATAAAAAGGCAATGTCGCGACCTTACTACTCGCTTATCATCCGGTCGAAATTATTCCAAGTCGAGAATCTAGCCAAGCGTTAAGAACATTTTTTCTGACGCAAAGAACAATAGTGATCCAATAAATCAACATTCTATTGTGCAAAAAATCGCCTTTGCATATTTTTCTACTTTATAGAACAATGCAGTAAAAACTGACTCGTTTTTGCATCCCTCGGTTATGCAAATGGCAAGACAATAAAACTGTAACACGGTTGAAAAACTATTTAGCGATGAATATTGCAATTTTGCTATCGTAAAACAGTATAGTCGACTACCTAAGGGTCCATCGGAAGTCTTCTAGGTAACAGACAAAAGATTGACAGTCGGCCGTTACAATTTTTTAAAGGTATTAAATATTGTTTCTTTGGAATATATAAAAAATGGAGCCGCACTAATACTAGAGAGGTAAAGATCGAGTGAGCGAGGCGACGCCGAAGTAATAATTTGGCGGAGGCGCGGCTCTACGCGAAAGGAACTCGTATACCGGCTCATGAGTGCGCGGCGCGAGGCCCGTTGCGCCCACTACGCGGAGTGCACGCGCAGGTCAGTCGGAGAATCCGGAGTCGCCGGCCTCCGAGGCAGAGAGAGGTCCTCTGGCTCCGTCTGCTCGGGCCACTCGTCCCAACGCCAGTCGGCTGACAAGCTAGCCGGGGGACTAGGTGTGCCAGGGTCGCAGCCTCCACTCGGACAGCGGTGAAGGGCAGCGGCTTGTCGTCGCCTAAACCTAGCACCGCAACGACACGCGAACGGGGCATCTCCATCGTGCACCAGAGCGTGGGCCTTTAGTTGATTCGAGTCTGAAAATCGAGCTGGACACCGGGCACAAGCGTAAGGTCGTTCACCAGTGTGAACGCGAAGGTGTCGCCGAAGATTCGCAACTTGAACGAAATGCCGCGGGCAGTGAGGACAACTGTATGGTTTCTCCCCGGTGTGAAGACGTAAGTGAGTTTTCAGATGGTGATCGCGAGTGAAGCGCTTGTGACATTCGCCGCATTCAAAAGGTTTTTCCCCGGTGTGTGTGCGCTCGTGATTTTGCAAAACGTGCTTGTAACCAAATGAGCGGGAGCAGACTTTGCAGGTGAAGAGCTTATCCCGAGGAGGATCGGTCGCTCCGGGGGATGATCCCGAAGATGGTGGTGAAGGCGGCGCGGTGGAAGTTTCGTCGAGCTTAGGCGTGCGGCGTCGCTTGCGGGCGCGATCCAGCTCAGGTGCGGGTGGGGGAAGCAGAGGGGGTGGCGGAGAAGGAGGCCAAGCTGCCAGCAAGGCGCCAGAATAAAGCTCCGCTGGGAGACCTGCGACCAGCGCCGCAGCTCGACTGGCCAGCAGCCTCTCCGCCAGCATTGGCAAAGTTTCTTCTCGCATACTGGAAAGCGATCTCACCGATACACCTGCAGACAAGGAAAATCACAGTTAAAATAACATTCTTAATAATAATAAACAGCTGAAACTGTGCATAAATGGAATGTGTCCTACTTCCGATATGGGTTAAAACGAGCCTAAGCAAACGCACAACCGAACCTATCGATAGCACACTTATCAGTGAGAGGAGGCAAAAAAGCCAGCAAAAAGTGTAAGCCAGACGTTTCGGAGGAAACATTTGGTCGCAATCACACCGCTGCAGGTCGCTTCCGCCCCGACCTGTTGCGCAAATTACCTTTTCGAAACTACAACGTTTCAGGAGAATTCAGATAGTCATATAGTATATATGAAGCTATATAGACGCAGAGTGGCATAATAACAAAAACATGATTTTCAATAAAATTAAAAATTAAGGCAATTAACTTAGCCGCAAATAAATTTGTAATGTTATTTGTGCTCTTGTAGATTACCATTTATAACCTATAAAAATATAAACAACTCAAGACGTAAAGTTGTAGTTAGACTACTTTGCCTCTAATGGTCTTATTATCAATAATAATAATTAATTTCCTGTAAGATCAGTTAGTTAGCGTAAACAGAGAAGTGTTTGTCCCATGACAAGAGATCACTATACAAGTACTTAGTTGTAGGAACAGCAAAGTAGACGCGCGAGCGGTCCACTCACGGCGCTTCATAATAGAATTAATTATTCGAAAGGCGGACACCACCCGCGCCCCTCCCAAATTATATTCAAATATTAATTTCGGCGAAGAAAAGCCTTTTGAGAGCACTTAATTAAAATTAGACAAAATCATAATTGAAAGTTCTCCTCGAGGCGTGAAGAGGACGGGCGAGGGAAGCGTCCTTACATTATCTACTTAGCTGGGGAATTAATTTTCAGCTCCTTCAAACTCGGAGAGTTTTAGAATTGAAGAAACACCAACACGAAATTTCCGCCGAGCTTTTCACTTTAAATTATAATTAATCTTCAAGTACTTCGCGACATTTCATTTCGATGTACAAAAATACCTAAACCAACATGTATAAACATTACTAGTACTTTCTTAAAATACCGATAGAAAAACAAATTTTATACATAAAAAATAAAATACTACTATAAGTAACATATTTTTTCCTATAGATTACTTATTTTACTTTTAATAACTTTCTCGCAGTTTGCTGATCGACGTGTACGTGATAAGCTTAAAATTATGAAACCTTTTTTTAAAGATTAGAATAATAATAAGAAGAAAAAGACTTTAAAATTTTTAAGACACAGCATATATAAAATACTGTCTGTAGTTTACGCGAGTTGTACACATTAAAATAAAACACTTTAACGGTTTAAACCGCGATATATTTTAGCTAAACTTGTTTGAAAATTATTTTTAACTACCGCCCAAATAAAAATAATACTACCGTAGTTATAATTTTTAAATATATCGCGGTTTTAAACCGTGTTTTATTTTACGTTATTGTCGCTTTAAAAACACAATTTGAGCTTAAAACGAAAGATGTCTTAATTATAAGTACTCTGACTACTGTTAAAAATAATTTATGAGATATATTTTTCGTTGTTTGAGTGTCGTATCGTAATAACGCCAATAACTACACTATATTAAATATACACTACTATTACGAAAGCCCCCCGACGGGCGACGTTCGTTATTTTCAAGGTACGCCACCCTTCCGTTCGCCGCTTTTTATGTGCTAAAGAGTTGTAATTATCCGCTCTTTATACGCCATAAATATTTGTCAATAACCCGTACTCAATACTTTTATGGACTCGCCTGCGGATCGCCACTCCATAACTCATTCCCGTGCAAGGGTTCGCTGATAACCGCGGATATAACGGCTTCCTTTTGTTACTAGGAGTTATGAGATCAAATAAAAAGTCTAATAGCCTAGATTAGCTAATATTCTATTTGTAATTTCGGTACACGTGCTCGAATGTTTTGAAGGTAAACATTATAATTACATTGCAAATGGTAACTGTGATCAACCGAAATAGGAGAACGTTCTTTTGTTTATTTTAGTCTGATTAACCGACAAAACGTACGTTTACGTTAGACTTTTTAACGTATGTTTAAGAGTAGTACACTTTTAAATAAAACACCCCCGTGACCACGGCTGCTGCAAAGCATCGGAAACGTCGGGCCGAAGTTGAAAATAATTTTTAAATAAGTTCAACTAATATATCACTTTTTAAACCGTTAAAGTGTTTTATTTAAATGTGTACTACTCGCGTAATCTACAGACAGTATTTAAAAGTGTTCTATTTATGAGTGCATTACTTTCGTAAATTTACGGACAGTCTTTACTTTTATAATTTGCGATATAACTTCATTGTTGTTTTATGTGTATCTAATGACAAAGCAACGGCCTAATTACTCCCCAACTTTAATGGGATTAAAGTGAGCCAACGCATTTCTGTAGATTATGGAGTTCATACGGTTTCGGGTATTTAGGGTTAAGCAGCGCTTTTTTTGGCTTCAGCCAACCCTGACACTAGTTTTATGAAACCATGCAACACTATCTATTACGTTACATTTATGAAACGAAAATTCAAACATAAATGTTTTATGTTTCACAACCGTTAAGTGTTTTATTAAAATGTGTACTACTTGAGTAAACTACAGATAATACTAAAACGTAAGTAATTTAATCTTAGTAGATAAAACATTCGTTACTAGCTTGCGACAAAAGTTATGATTAACGTTTTAATATAAAAAAATATTACATTATATAATCATATTAAAATATGTATTTGTTTTGTATAGAAGGTATCGAGAGGAATAATATCAATAATATTTAAAATAGTTAAAATAAATACACGTGCATATCAAAAAAATAATACTTATCGAAGTATATTGTCAAATTTAAATATAAAAAAAACGACGACTACAGTTTAATAAGGAAGCAAATCACATTTAACTCATTTATTTTTTAACCAAGACTGATATCATAAGTGTCTAACGATAATTAATAGTAGTTACTAGGTGTCTATTTACCATTACGCAAGTAGTTTGTAGTTTACAATATTAAAAGTCACATCGTTATAAACAACAAAGTTTCACAAACTCGGGAAACATTTCGTAGCAATACCGTAGCACATCGCTACGGGCGCACTCGCGAAAGACTACGCTACGCTTGACTGAAACACGTCGAATGCAAATAAACCATGTGTGCTCTACGCCAATCGTAGCGGCTTGTACACGCATGCCAGTCTCCCAACATCCCGCTATATTCAAATATCTCCAACACGTTCAAACTTTTAGAGTAATAAATATGAATAATATACAAACCTCTAGAATTCTGTGACGACTGCAACGATATGGCCATCTCACACCAATTTCACGGATTCATTTATTTTCACCACAGCAGAGTCAACTTTATTAAATGAAATTAAACCGATAAATGTCTAATGCGACGTTATCATGTTCCGGCGCGAGTCGCGATTTATTTCGTTTTGTGATACGACCGTCCTCTGTGAGACCTACCACAACACTGGCTAGAGCAGAGAGCGTGCCGGCCGCCCCTATGCGCGGTAAACACACCCCCACGAGGGAAGGTGGGGTCCATCGTGCCCCCTGCCCCCCGCTCGCACTGCATTCGTGCACGCAATGCATTTTTATGGCCGCTACTACATTATGTTTCGTTCGGTACATTCTGGTACCACAGTTTTTTAGCCCTCATAACGAGCAACACATAAGCACTTTTTTATGTTTACGATCCGCTGCCGTGTAGGGTCGGGCGGTGCTTTCTTTTACTGCAACTAATTTGGGATATTCTAAGATTTACTATCTCCTACTAGTTTGCTTCTGTTCTTTTGTGATCTGCCGTAAAACTTTCTCTGGGCATACATTGTAATTTATGATGCATATTATGGCACATGTTTTTATTTTGCAAATTTATAACACAATATACAGGGTTTATTATTTTTTTATATATGAGAAAATTTTGTTAATTAAAAATTGGTAAAAACAGATTCAGTAGACATATGTAAGTATGCAATAGTTAGCTTTAATTTGTAATTATCATTAACGCCACTTAACGAATTTCGTAGTATACTATTTGTCATTGATTTATCATCATTAGGCGTAATTATTCTATCCCTTTATGCAATTACTGATTGAGTGGTGAATTATATTTTACTATTACTGTATGAAACTAATCAAATTAGTGTCCGTTTGTTACTTGTTAGGTGTAGCGAATCCATTGATCGATTTGATTTTTCAGGCAAGGCATGACCTAAACTACAAGAATTGTTAAGAAGAATTAACTAAGTACAAGATATATTGTGGCATTTATTCCTAAAGGAGACTAACTAGATTTCAGACACATCACATACCATAGGTAGTTGGTTAATATACATTTCACGTAATAAACATACATATAATATATATTTTCAGAGGAGTAACCATATGGTTACTTCGTTATGTATGCAAGAAATATTTTTTTATATCCCTCGTGGGTTTCTGGCCGGCCCGTTTTAATCTAAGTTGATTTTAAATGTATATAAAATTATTATGTTTAAATAAAACAGTTTTAACATGGAATCCCCCGTGACTACGACTGCAAAGTGCAAAGAATCATCTGATATTAACAAGTTTACGGATATATTTCGCATTTTAAACCGTTGAAAGTGTATTATTTAAATGTGTACTACTAGCGCAAATGGCAGACGAGCATGTTGGCTTTACGAAACAGCATATTTCTATCATATTGTTGGTTTCTTCAAGTCATAGAACTAATACCTACCTAAAAACTTTATACTACTTGCGACGGCGTATTTATCTACTGTACTCGGTGTTGTAGCAGTCCTTCAAAAGTTACTCACATATTGACTCAAAGACAACACGCATAAAAAGCATAAGTGTCGAGACAAGCAGCGTATCGCGTAAATTAAGCGTTTTTATCGCGCGTGCTTCGGTTATTTTTACCGTTTTCACTATTTATTCCTGTTTTAGTAGCACGCGCCCCAACCAAAGACGCTTTTTATCCCAAAGTAGACGAGGAAGCACTGTATCGCCTGTTTGTTTAATAACTCTATTATTAGGATGTTCCTTGACATATGGCAGGTAACAGTTTTTAGTATCTTAAACTTATATACATTAACTACTACTGTAATTATTTTTATTTAAATTTATTTATTATATTTATTAATAAATTGAATTTTACGATAACTTTTGTATTAAATGCAGTTTAATCTTAGATAATATAAAATTAAACGCGCTATTTCTTATGATTATTTAAAAACTAGAATTAAAATATAAACAAGTAGTGATGTGTGAAAAATATTTCCAAGACCTACAAAAGACCACTACTCCAGTTTGTACACGTTATGTAGTTCGTAATGTTAAGTAATTATATAATATACATAAAGTTTACCAAAATTAGATTGTTTTATCCCCTTTATCCACTATATTTAACTTCATATAATTAGAAAAGAAAACACCACTTCTTTCACTCACAATACGGCGCGATGAGATTGTTAGTTTTTTAAAAGGTGATCCCACCTGCCGCTGTCGCGTGCCTCTTATTGTTATTCAATTGTGTACTATATTCATAGACGCTTAAGGTTTATTTTAGATCTTTTAAAAATATACATTGCATTTTTTAAATTAAAAAAATATTATTTGTTTCGTTCCTTTGAGACGCTTTTGTCCTTATCTCGGGGGATGTTTAGGCTTGTTATCTGGCACACGCTGTCGCACCTTGCATTGGCTTCGGAAGCAAACCCTCAACGTTCCACCGGCCTATCTGTAAATTAGGAAAACAGATCTTTGTCCCTCCGATATTTGCAGATACTTTGGCAAGGAGCAGGTGCTGCGAGATCTTATCTCGTATTAATAAAATAGTAAGTTATAGCAATCGTTAATTAGATCAAAGCCAAAACATTTTTCGCCATCATTAAGGTTTTAAATGGATTTATGGGGACACGAGAACCTAATGTTTTGGAATGTGGTATAATTTTTTTTTTGATATAGTGCAAAACCAATAGTTAATCTTGTTAACATGTGGGTTACGTCAATAAATTGCTTTGTTTATTACAAATCAAAATAGCAATAAACGTTAACTTGTGAAATAGTGTTATATAAACTACAAACGTCGCATTTAGCAGCTTTTTGTCGCACCTTGTTGATGAACAAAAACGGCATATTTACAGTTAACTTATAATATATTTCGTAAAATAGAAAGTTATGGGGATTGCAAAATGCGCTTGAGTAATAGGAATATCGTTAGTCCAGTGACTATTGCACTCCACTGCAGTCCCAGTTCGTATCCGGGGTCAGGCGAAATGTTAGTTATTGTCTATTTTATATTTCCATTGTTAGCCTGGAATTTATTATAAGGTGCGCATCAAAGTCGTAATTCAGAGACCACCTTAAACGGTTGGCCTCATCACTAATGTAATTGCTATCCGCTAATCCGCCCCGAACCTAGGCCCATAAGCTCCCCCTCCTCCTAAGAGCTGCGGTACATTAATGGTGAAACTTAACATCGTTGTTTCTTTCAAAAGACCGCCGTATTGCAAACACCCATCTAGTTATCAGTACACGGGTCGTAAGTCGCAATTGCCGTCGTAAAAGCCAGCAGTGAAAGGGTTCCATTGTTTGAAGCTCCGTCAAAGTATTCATTATGTGCGAATAACCCTTTCGAATAAAAAGGAAAAAGTAAAAGTCTTCGGCGAATTTTAAGAAGCGCTTTCATTTGGGATAAAACGTAACGTCCTTGAATTCTCCTCGGCAAGGCTTAATTGTGGTTTGACGGCTTCAAAGAGTTGGATGTTAGATGAAAGGCGAGGGTGAGAGCCACCCCCACTACAAGACAAAAGCCAGCTTTCACTTTTAACGAACCTGGATCTTGAACTAAGGTTAGGTCAAGCGTTTTACGGAGAAGTTTAGATATCACTTAAGAACGAAAATTAGATAACATTGATAATATTTGATATATGTGTGTAAGACATATTTAAGATACAAGCTATAAAAAAATGATCAATAAAGAGTCTATTTTTAACTTTTTCAGTATTAGTACGTATATTTTATTCGTATTTGCCATTCGAATTTTTAATTTATATTATGGTGACAAATAAAGTAATTTTCATATTTAGAGTAAATTCTGAAATCTTTAAATAAATATGTAGGGAGTTGTTTCCTCAAAGCATATACGTAACCCTCTATTAATAGTCTAAATTTTTTCATTTTTATTGTCGATTAGTGATTGGGCATATAGCGTATTGCTTTATTTTATTACAAACTTAATCGTGTTGATAGAAACAAGTTTTAATTCAACATTTAGCGATAGATAAGGCTAAGATATTTTAACCAATACGATCTTTTAATTTGGTAAGATTAGGTTATAGATTATAATAGAGTGACTTTGTGTTATATATGATGACCTTGCGACTGCCATGGATAAATAAATATACATTATTATTAAAATTTGACTAAAACTTTTAAACCCGATTTCCACGAAAACGAACGAATATCGAACACAAAGGGTTCCGAAATGCGCAAGCAATTTGTCCTGTTGCGTTATTTATTCAAACAATGCGACTGGACTATTTTTGGCAAATTGGAGCAATTCACTTTTATGACACGGCCGGTGCATTGTTTGCTAAATAAATCCTTGCAAAAATTAGCACAATAGCTTCTACGCAGCCGGGACCTTTGACGAGTCTAGTAGTACAAAAGATGTTATCTCAAAACCTCTATTGTTTTCAAATCTTTTCTTTTTTGTTTATCGCAGAGAACAGACAAATAGGGCATCTTTGGTGGAAGGTGAAATGTCCTAACCCTATGGAATTGGTGAGCCGTCGACCTATATTTCATTTTACGAAGAATATTCGTATATATTGCCAGTTGAGGTTGCAAATTTCTCAATAAATAAGTTTAAAATGCCATAAAATTCACATGTTCTCAAAAGGCGTATTATTGTTTGAACGATTTCTTTAATGACTAGGATGCCTGGCAGTGATATGAATCGCTCCTTAGGTTAATAAATTCACAAAAATGTGAAGACATGTTGAAAAAGCCGGACAGACTTACTTAGATGTTCTTCTCGGTCATGTTGCTCTTTGGAACACTCCATAGAATCACGACAGACATACAGATAAAAAAATTTTGACGAATCAAAAAATTTTGAAATTTGAAAGAGTATGAAGTATATTTTATTTTAAAATAAAACGTGAATTTACAAAATTTCCATTTGTAGGCGGTTGTTAGGCGTAGTATGGAGAAAATTTCAATATTACAACTATTACTGGAACAAATGTAAAACTAGGTTTATAGAGAAGCTAGGCCCGTTCGCTAACCGCAAATTGTCACTAACATTTCACCAACGAAGCCGTCCGACAATGAATTTACGATTACAGAATGAATTTGTCATTCTCTAGTACAAATACAGTTCTTATTTTACGTAATTGCGTATATTATTACAATCCGATCCCTTCCGTGTGAACGACAGATGTGCGCTTGCGACGAGGAAATTATAAAAATTGTGAATATTTCATTCGCATTATTGCGTATTCGGCCGTTACGAATCCATTGAACACAATGGACTTGAGTTTAGCCACTTTTTTTGTGTTTGCTGTGAATTTTAATGTCAGTTTTAGGTAAAGTCTGGTTCGTACGGGAAGGGTGGATCAAGAATCAATTGATAGGTA